CAACTCGAGTCCACCCAACACTTACTCATAATACCCGACACTTCAAGAATATACCCCCCGGTAAATATGTAACGGTATACCACTCCTCAAAATTAACCCCCAGAATCGGCCCGAAGTTTTGATTCGGGTCAGCGGATGAAGGCGATCGAGGGAGGGGCGTTATGCAGAGCGGCGTGCGTACCGAATTGTTCACAGCGCGCCACTAAACGAGAGAGCGCGCCCGCAGGGCCAAGTACACGGCGGGCGTTGATGCGCATCAATATCCAAATGCGCCCGCCGTCGGATAGCAAGAAAGCGTCGTTTCGTGGCCCGACCCTTTTTTTTTCTTTTTGGTTTTGTATTGTTTTCGCCATTTCTTCTTTTTGATTTTGTATTCTTTTTGCATTTTTTTTTCCCCTTTCGGCGTGTCGTTTTCCCTTTCCGGCGCGTGAAAGCGTCGTTTCGTGGCCCGGCCCCTTTTTTTTCTTTTTGGTTTTGTATTCTTTTCCCAATTTTTTCTTTTTGATTTTGTATTCTTTTTGCATTTTTTTCCCCCTTCCGGCGTGTCGTTTCGTGGCCCGACCCCTTTTTTCTCTTTTTGGTTTTGTATTTTTTCGCCTTTTCTTTTTTTTGCGCGGGGGGAGGTCGATGGTCTCGGTGCGGAAAAAGTGAACCCCCCCCCCCCCATGCCCGCCTGCCCGCCCACCCACATATATATATATATAGTTAGTTAGTAAGTATTTGGAGTTCGTTTGCAGTGGTCGGGTTGGGGTTTGAACCCACGTATGGATTTTAAAATACCCAATTGCTCACTAAGATAATCGTTCAGGTAAACTGGGTCCCTGTTTGTTTTAGGGGACTGCTTTCTTTTAAAGTGTATCCGACGTTAGGCTGCTAGCACGTAAGGATGTGCCTGTGTGTCCAAAGCCTAACGTCGCATAGTGTGGTAGGCAGGACATCAATAAATTGGGGGGACCGGTAGCATAGTTTCATCAGGGCTACCGGTAGTATAGTGTGGAGACCCGAAATAGTGGCAAAAACTGAAAATGTGTCGATTTCCATCCGTGATTTATTTTGTGGTCTAAATGATTTTTTAAAAATTTTAAAATATTTTTCCTAAAAATATCACGAGCAAATCAATGAACTCTCCAAATTTCAGGTTTTTTGACGTATTCTTCAGAGCACGAAAAATCGTTGAACTTGGAGTATTTTTCCCCTTGGCCCGCAAATGGCACAGTGGAAAAACTGGAACATGCACTAAATCGGCGCGGCGATTGTTTTGACGTCAAAATGTTTTTTTTTGTTTTTTCTGATATTTTTGCTGGAAAGATCATGACGAAATCTACGGACCCTTAAATTTTCAATTTTTTCGGTGAATGTTTCTAACCGCAAAAAATCGCCAAAGTTGCCGATGTCAAATTGTGGGACTAGGCCCGCCGTTTCGGCCTCCGGTCGTCGCCCTCCCTCAAAACCTGCCTGAACTTATAGGGGGGGCTATTTCCTGCTGTCGGAGGGAGTGGTGGTTTCCCAACCAATTCAATTACCTGTCGAATCTGGACAGGAAGGCCTTTCAGGCCTTTTTTATTGTTATTATAGTATTATGGGGAACCCCGTAGCAGCCACATCCGTGCTCAAGCCTCCAATGAGGGAACATGTGGGAGCTGCACCCACCAGCATGTGTGATACCTGCTACAACAGGTGGGTGATACCGGCCAGGGGTATATAAGTAATAAGTATAAGTATATATAAGTATATATATGGACGGTGTCAGGATCACTGCTGACAGAAGTTCAGTTTATTCCAGAAAAGGTGGCAGTTACTTTGTCCAATGTTGTTGCAACCACCACCATCAGATCCTTTGTGATCTGATGGCTGAGAAGCACCCGGCCGTGATTTCCAGTGGGAGGTCCTTGTTTTTGTTTTTTTTTTTGCTTTTTTTCTTTTTTTTTCAGCCCAGAAATTCGTAATGAACCAGTCCCCCCGTTGCCACTCAGTGGGTCTCGCTCCACTACTATCTGTTGTACGATTTCGTATAGTGGGACATCGCTCCACTACCTATACGAAATGCGTCTTCGGAAATCGCCGTATAGTTGTCAGAAGGCGCCCTCCCGCTTCACCATACGATCCGTAAAGTAACCAGCCTGCAAAAGTCGTTACTTGGACGGTGGTTGAAGGAGGTCGGCGTTCCACCGCGAAAACGTATGGTGCACCTGGAGTCTGGGCGGACAAAACAACCTCTTCTGTTTTTTTGTGGAATTTTGCGCTATACGGTTTCGTATAGCGAGCCCATCCTCCTGGTACCCGGTAACAACCCTGCACAAGGATGACCACAGCTTAAGCGGCCAGCCCYCCCCCGCCAGCCTCCGCCCCCCTCCCCCCTCCCCCCTCCCCTTTGGCGCCCTACTGCGTGGAAGAATGGATCCAGGGAGAAATTAAAGGTCTGGACCAAGCCGGAAAACGGCGGTAGATGCATTCCAGTGGAGGGCGCCTGGAAGAACGGATCCACGAACCAAAAAAAAAAAAAAAAACTGTACAAAGGAAAAGGTCTGCACCAAG